AACATGTCTTTAATTAGATGCATAACAAAATAAAAGGCAGAAGAGCTAATTGAGCAACACTGGAGAATACTGCTCATTACTTAATTTCACAAAATACTGTGGAAATTATTTGACCAGGGGATAGTTCTCCATGTACACCATTTTGATCAAATGACAATGATTCCCTTTGGGCTCTTGTGTGCACATTCATTATACAGATGGTCCCAGACTTGCTATGATTCAGCTTGAGATTTTTCAACTTTAGACAGTGCAAAAGTGCTACTTTGGGTACCCACACAACCAACCTATTTTTCACTTTTAGTGCAGTACTCAATAAACTGCACAAGATCTCCAACACTTCATTATAAAATAGGTTTCATGTTAGAACAGATGATTTTGCCCAACTGCAGGCTAATGTAAGTGTTCAGAGCATGTTTCAGGTAGGCTAGGCGTTTCATGATGTCTGCAGGTTTTGTGTATTCAATGCATTTTCAACATGGTATTTTCAACTTATATCAGGACAGAACACCATTGAAAGTTGAGGAGCGTCTGTATTCAGAATGGTTTTTGGCTTCATGAAACAGAAACCTGATTGTAGGTAACTTAAACAAGCAACAAGTTCAATTTTCACAGGTGACAAGAACTAGAACAGCTGCTCACAGGACTAGACTCCTACCCTCTTTCTTCCTGTAGGCTATACCTTTAGAATTAAGGAAAATGGCAAAGGGCAAAATGAGTCAGCCCCATTTCACTCAGGAAAAGACTAGTTTTACAGGAAGTCCCAGCTCTAAATCTGCTCCTTACTTAGGAGTCAGAACTATGTCACATGGTCACCTCTTACTGCAAGGGAGTCTGGGAAACTTTTAGCTAAGCACACTGCTAACCAGGAGAAAACTGAGATTTTTTTTTTCCTTAAGAGACAGGATCTTGTTCTGTTGCTCTGACTGGAGTGTGGTGACGCAATCACAGCTCACTGCAGTCTCAAACTCGTAGGTTTAAGTGATCCTCCTGCCCTGGCCTCCTGAGTAGCTTGGACTAGAGGCGCATGCCACCATACCTGGATAATTTATTTTTAATTTTGTAGGGACTGGGTCTCACTTTGTTGCCCAGGCTGGTCTCAGACTTTGGGCTTCAAGCAGTCCTCTTGCCTTGGCTTCCTAAAGGGCTGGAATTACAGGCGTGAGCCACTGTGCCCGGCCTATGCCAACATTTTTTTGCATTTTATGCCTTGTTATTTATATAAAACACAAGGATAGGATCTGCTTCTCTTTAGCATTGATTCAACATGAAATCAAAATGTTACCCATGTCACTAATACATAGTAGTAACAGTGATATTGTGACTACAGCCTACAGTTCACATGATAGTAAAATTAAATAGAAGTGACTATTTCTAGACATAGCATGATGCTACCCATAAAAAGCATTTTATAAGTAATACATAGAAATTGAGAAAATGTCCCATTTTGACACCAAATTCACCACATTTAATAAATCATCCCTAGCTGTTTCCATGTGGGGCTACCAGATCCATATTTCTGACTATAAGATCAATTAAAATGATTAAGCAGTGAAATATAGAATATTGTTTCCTCATTGAACAATGAAAATCCCAGAACAGACGCAGGCCATGTGTCAGACTGTCAACTGCCTGCATTCCCATGAAATCCAAACATTTGACTAGTAAAGGTCATTGGACACCAATTGCAAATTTTGGTGGAATTTTGTCAGTTGACAGGAGTTTCTCTATTGTGTATATTCTTCATATGGGAAATAATCTCTGAGGAGTTTCAAGTTGCATGTTTCCACTTGAATAATTACTTTTCAAAAAAGTTAGTATAAGCATATTCTAGATCATCTTACAGGCATGTGATTTCACTGTCTGACTTTGGGTTTACACACATCAAGGCACTATGGAATGCTATTTTCACTGTCTCCGGTTAATGACAACAAAAGCGAGCTGAACTTCATGCACGTGTGATGCCCCTGTGGGATGTGCAGGCCAAAGGTTCCTGAACAGGAACATACAAAAGAACTGCAGAAATTCAACAGAGAAAAGGGATGGGCAAACAGAGTCAGCACTGAGACTGCGGGGGTCGGCAAACGAACCCGCCTGAACCTGCCACAGAGCAGCCACCACCATAGTCATGATTTGTGCAAGAGTCGAGATTTAAGACACATTATTGGTCACATTAAGTTAATGTTGTTCATTTGAATGTAATGGCTTTGCCATTTCGTTTGTATTTAATTTGTAAAGATATTTGGTTTTATGGTTGTATAATGGTTGTCAACAGAAGGAGTTTAGTCCTATTTTATTTTTATACATATTTAAGTAACATTATAATCAAAACAATTTAGTTCAATACTGCAGTAGTAAGAGATTGTCTTTCCTTTAAAAAAAAAAAAAAGACTCGCTATACTTCTAAAGTCTGAGAAGCACTTTTCTATGGCTTTCTCTCCAACAGGAACAGAACGGAGGAGATGCCACGACTTCTCAGCCAAATCCGCATTCCGTTAAAGGTAGGTGAAGAAGGGCTTTATAGGAACAATAATTCCCAACTTTTTGAGTTAGTAACATCAATCATTGTTTCATGGACATCTTGTTCTCTGCAAAAATAATAATTACAATAAACAAAAGTTTCTATAGTCCTATAGTCCTTTTTCTTAAAAACATAAATTATGTCTCTCTGAGTTGGAGCATCTTACAAATTATCTAGTCTAATCACCCTTCTGCGACACAAACGCATATGGCTGTGCTTGAGTTAGGCTGAGAGGGGCTTTTGAATACAGCAGTGTCTAAAATGTGATTCTCGGTTACTCACAGTTTGGTGTAACTTATCCTCATGACTAAAGTCTCTTCCAGAATGTTTCTCTGAGTGGCTTTTGACAGAAATTAGGAGGCTGACTTGGGGTTAGGACAGTGCAGGATAGAGACTACAGGTGGGTATGCTGGAGTCCAGAAAGAGTGTGTTCTGAGCATGTTAGCACTAATGAAAATTTGCAGACATTTACTTGCAAGACTTAGACTCTTGTAGGGTACTATGATTTAAACTGGGGCTTTAAGGAACCACTTCTGGACCTCAGGAACTGAGAAGAAAGATCCCATCCGACTCCTGGCTCTGATGTCGTGTGGCACTTCTGAGCTACGGGAAAAACTGCTACGAGGTCGTGTGCTGTTTTTCAGATTTTCGAAGTGGATGTGGAAGGTGCAGAAAATGAGGAGTGCATTTATCAAAGATCAATAATGTCAACTAATTATTTTTTACATCCTCCAAAAGTTACTGACAATGCCAGTGTTATGGTGTCCTTTCTCTCATGAAGATAATTCCAATAGGACATTCGTGACCTTCAAATGCTGTTTGACCTTCTATAAGCAGCATTCACAAGTACAGCAGAAACCAAGTAAAAGCTTTTAAAGAAAATGTCACTGTCACTGATAATTTTATTCTTTGGATCCTGACTTATCTGTGGTTAGCTAATAAGCAAGTGAACCTTCTAGGTGATCACACCAAAGGGGTCTCAAAAAGCCACAAGCCTCCAATGTTAACTTATATTGTCCAGTTTTTATAGTCAATACCAAACGGATTTACAGATTTTCATAAGACAATAAGGAAAACTGAAAACCCAACAAAAGCAAAACAAAACAAAAAACAGAAAAATACTCTGGCTAGCATTTCACCTGAAGATCTGGCTTCCCATTTGCTATTTTTAAAAATATTTCCTTCTGGATTTGTGTGAGAGACCCATTGCATCTGCAAACCACTATTAAAAATAGCTGGAAGTAGCTAAAACAGACACTGGGTACAAAACGCAGTAACCAGTAACACATGGATGCTCTAGATGAAGTAATTCAGTACATCTCTAGTCTTGCACTCTTACAGTGCCATCCCCAGGACCAGCGGCACCAGCATCAAACCTGGTTATGTGGAAGAAATGCAACTTTTTCGGCTCAACCTCAGACCTACTGAATCAAAATTTGGGGAGAGAGTCCACCAACGTGTGTTTTAAGAAGCCCTCCAGGAGATTCTGACACACACTGAAGCTAAAGCACTGACGCTTGAGAGCCCCTGGTTTCAATGAAACCTGCTATTTATAATGTTCAAAGTCCAGTTTCTAGATAGAGCAACACTTACCAGAAACCATTATAAGAGATGATGGGCTGATTGTATCATTTATGACAATAACATGCACACATTTGCTATAAAAGGAAATTATTTGTGAACTAAACTCATGTTACTTGAACATACAAATGGAAGAGCAGAAAAGATGTGTTTAAAGTTGTTTCAGTTAAAATTTTAAATAAATATATAGCCATTAAAATACAATTAACAGATAAATAAACACTCAAGCTGAGGGATACCCAAAATATCCTGACTTGACCATTACACATTCTGTGCATTTAAAAAATACTCATATATATCTCAGAAATATGTAAAATATTATGTATCAATTAAAAAATGATACAGTGAACAGTGCACTCCAGTGTGCTACACTATATACATAATTCAGACCTGTGGTCTGTGGCCGTCCATAAGCAATCTGTTACACTACACTATTCTTCTCATTTACCGATTCTTTCATAATATAAAGTTTCACCGCCTAATAAGTGATCCGTCTAAATCATAATTGGAACAAATCATATCATTCCACATCTATTTAATTGCCACACCTACAGGCTCTGCTAGCAATAAAAGGATATATCAATCACTTCAGTAGAAGAGTCATAATTTTAAGTTTGCTTTTCATTTGAGTTATAAACTTGAGGTTGGTTTTCAGGTATAAAACCATCTTAAGAACAAAATGAAATATGTTGGAATCATTACAGAAGCCATCAAAACCTCCACTGATCCTTCCTTTAGGTTTCGATTTGTGTCAACTCAATACTTTTAGACACAACAGCTTTTTAAAGGCCATTAATAAAAGGCAGTTCTAGTTTGAGGGCTGATGAACGATCTACTCCCTTGTCAGAAGCTATAGAAAAGTTGATTTGGAAGCAATACCAAGATTGCTCCTGGCGCCTACCTGTCTACAGGTGAAGGTTTGGAATTCCGCGGTTTTTTGACTTGGGCATACAAAGCATCCATCAAATGACCTTCTCGTGGGCTCTGAGGTCTAGCATTGAGAGCCATGGAACCTTCATAAGAAGAAACTCCCCCATACATCAACTCATCATCACAGGCAAATGTCCGATGAAAGTCTTGGATTTCAGCATAGTCACGCTCCCGGGCTTGCCGCTCCCTAAATTCTCGAGTTTTGGCTTGAATCCTATGAAATCGGAACAAAGCTGAAATCAGAGAAACTACTCCTTTTCTAGGAACTGCATATAGAAACAGTCATCAAAATGTGTTGTAAACTATATTTTATATCATGCAGCTATAGGAGATCAGTGGTATAAATAATAGGTCAAATACATTATAGATTGTGAAGTAGTGCTATGGATGCTCAGAAATAATAATTTTAGATACTTTTTGTTCATGTCAACAAGATTGCAGTCATAATTTAAATCTTTTTTTTTTGAGATAGAGGCTTACTCTGTCGCCGGGTTGGAGAGCAATGGCATGAGATCTTGGCTCACTGCAACCTCTGCCTCCCAGGTTCAAGTGATTCTTGTACCCTAGCTTCCCAAATAGCTAGGATTACAGCTGTGCACCACCACACCTGGCTAATTTTTGTATTTTCAGTAGAGATGGGGTTTTACTGTGTTGGCCAGCCTGGTCTCAAACTCCTGATCTCAAGTGATCCTCCTGCCTCAGCCTCCCAAAGTGCTGGGATTACAAGTGTGAGCCACCATGCCTGGCCATAATTTAAATCTTAAGTTTAAATTTTCACGTATTAACTAGCTTTAAAAACTCACAAGGAATAGATCATTTCTGGCATCTACTTGGATATTACTCATAAATTTAAGGCAAAAAATAATTTTTTTAAGTTACATACATTTTATATAAAAATATTTATGTGTATGTTTTATATCTATCTTACTCATTATCAATACACCATAAACATTCAACATACAGTGATGCTTAAACACAAATCCACACCATAACTCTTCATTACTAGCAAAAGACAATCTTGGCTTAATGTCATCAACTCTGTCATTTTATGGAATGCATACACAAATGGGGAATCTTTAAATTAAGGACTAGAAGGCAGGTATCCAATCAAATTCTGAAGTAAAACTTGTTTACATTACAACTAAGAAACAAACCTTAAATGTTCAACTTTACTGAAGATACGTTTAGTTTACTATGATTTTATTAAACTATTTAATACAACATCCTCTTCAACTTATAACATATTGATATAATTTATGTCCTAAATCAATCTTAGTTACCTGGAAATAATTTTAAAACCCTCAACAGAATTTTAATTTTAAAAAAATCTCCTTTATATACTTACGAATTTAAATATACACGTAAATGCAGTAAAATCTCACTTCTATAAAGCAATACTTTAGACTGAGTTTAATCTTTTGTTGCAGATATTTTTTTCATGTTTCAAGTAGACCTCTGCTAGCATAAACAATACATAAATATATATTCAAAAGAATACAGAGAAGAGATGACAGCAGCTATCAGATAGACAGCAGCAAAAAGAAAAAAAAAAAGGAAAGAAAGAAGAGAAAGCTACAGGCCAATATGCCTCATGAATATGGAAGCAAAACCTTTAATGAAATATTAGCAAATGAAATTCAGCAATATATAAAATAAATTATATACCATGACCAAATGGTGTTTACTGAAGAAATTCAAGCCTGGTTCAATATTCAATAATCAATTACTACAATCCATCATATTAACAGATCAAAGAAGAAAAGTTACATGATTATATCAATCGATGCAGAAGTATCTGACAAAATTCAACACCCATCATGTCAGAAAACCTTCTGAAAACTAGACATAAAGTAAAACTTCTAAACTTAAGAGCATCTACCAAAAACAATCGGGTTCAAGCACACATAATGGAGAAAGACTGAATGGTTTCCCTATGATAAAGTAAGGATGTGTGCTCCTACACTGTAATTCCACACAGTTTTAGAGGTTCTAGGCAATGCAATAAGCCTAGAAAAGGAAATAAAAGTACACAGTTTGAAAAGGAAGAAATAAAATGCTTCTTACTTGCAAATGACACGATGATCTACATAGAAAATTCCAAAGAATCTACAAAAATCTCCTAGAACTAAAACGCATGTTCAACAAGGTCAGAGGATACAAGATCAACATACAAAAATCCATTGTATTTTCTGTATGTTGGCAATAAACACATGGTCACTGAAATTAAAAATACAATGCTATTTATAATCCCTAACAAAACAAAACACATAGATACACATCTATAAGCCAAACTTTAGTTTATGAAGATCTATGTAAAATAAATATGTGGAAAACTACACAATGCTTCTGAAAAAAAATCAAAAAAGGTTTAAAAGTGGGAAGACATACTATGATCATGGATGGAAAGACAATGTGGGAAATAAGCCAGTTCTCCCCAAATTGATATACAAGTTTAATGCAATTTCTTTAAAAATCCCAGAAAGACAGCCTGGGAAACATGGTGAGATCCCAACTCTATAAAAAATTAAAAAATTAGCCAGGTGTGTTGGTGCATGCCTGTAGTCTCAGCTGCGTGGCAGGATGAGGTGGGAGTACTGCTTCAGCTCAGGAGGACAAGGCTGCAGTGAGCTGTGATCATGCCACTGCACTCCAGCCTGGGCAACACAGCAAGACCCTATCTAAAGAAAAAAATCTGAGCAAGATGTTTTTTATAGATAGTGACAAGATTATTTGAAAATTAATAAAGAAAGGCAAAAGACAGAATTGTTTAACTGTGGAAAAGAACAATAAAATGGGAGGAATCACTTTTCCAGATTGCAAGACTTGTAATATAGGTATCATAGCCTAGATTGTGTAGTATTTACAAAAGGATAAACATACAGATTGATGGAATCGAATAAAGAACCCAGAAATAGCTAAGAAGTATGGTCAATTGATTTCTCACAACTGTGCAACAAAAACAATTCAATGTAATAAAATAGTTTTTTCAATCAATGGTGTAGGAGCCATGAGATATCCATAGGCAAAAAGAAAAGGTAAAATCAACCTAAATTTTATATCTTACCAAAAAATTAACTCAAAATGGATCATAGGTTTAAACATAAATATAAAAGTAGAAAATTGGCCGGGCGCTGTGGCTCAAGCTTGTAATCCCAGCACTTTGGGAGGCCGAGGCGGGTGGATCACGAAGTCAAGAGATCGAGACTATCTTGGTCAACATGGTGAAACCCCGTCTCTACTAAAAGTACAAAAATTTAGCTGGGCATGGTGGCACGTGCCTGTAATCCCAGCTACTCAGGAGACTGAGGGAGGAGAATTGCCTGAACCCAGGAGGCGGAGGTTGCAGTGAGCCGAGATTGCGCCATTGCACTCCAGCCTGGGTAACAAGAGCGAAACTCCGTCTCAAAAAAAAAAAAAAAAAAAAGAAAATTTAAGAAAAAATGTATGGGATTCTTTAGCAACTAATGCATGGGTTTTTAGGACTCATAACAAAACCATTATCCATAAAATTTAGGACATAAATTGCATGTCATCAAAATAAAAAACTTTCCCCCTATGAAAGCTCTAATTAGAAGATGAAAAAATTAGTACAGACTAGAAAAAATTTTTTGCAAGTCACGTATCTAACAAAGGACTCATATCCAGAATATATTTTTTAAAATACTCAAAACTCAGTCAGCCTTCTTGGCTCACACCTATAGTCCCAGCACTTTGGGAGGCTGACAGGGCTGTACTGCTTGAGCCCAGGAGTTCAAGACCAGCCTAGGCAACATAGTAAAACCTTGTCTCTACAAAAAATAATGCAAAAATTAGCTGGGCATGGTTGTACACAACTGTAATCCCATCTACTCAGAAGGCTGAGGTGACAGGGTTGCCTGGGCTCTGGAGGCCGAGGCTGCAGTGAATCTTGATGGTCCCACTGTACTCCAGCCTGTGTGGCGGAGCAAGACATTGACTCAAAAAAATTTAAAAATCCTAAAACCTCAACAATGAGAAAACAACCCAATTAGAAAATGGCAAAAGACATGAAGAGATGTTTCACTGAAGAGGACATATGGATGACAAGCATGTGAAAAGATGTTCACCACCAGCAGCTATTGGGGAAATGCAAGTAAGACTCTGATGAGCTATTACTACACACCTATCACACTGGTGAAAAGAAAAAGTAGTGACAATACCAAATGCAGCCATGGATACAGGGAAACTGGACTTCCCACACATTGCAGTTGGAAATTTAAAATGGCACTGTCACCCTGGAAAACAGCCTGGTAGTATCTTTAAAAATCAAACATATACTTATCTTAGTATCCAGCAATTGTGCCCCCAGATACTTATCCCGAAGGTGTGAAAACTTACGTCCAAGCAACAATCTGTATGCAATTGTTCATTGCCAAATATTACTGTACTTGTAATATTTAAATATTGGAAACACCCAAAATAGCCTACAATAGGTGAATCGTTTTAAAAAAACTGGGGTGTGTCCATATCACAGAATATTACTCAGCCATAAAAATCAACAAACTAGTGAACTTGAATCTGTCTCAAGGGCATTATGCAATGTGGAAAAAAAAAACAGCCAATCTCACAGATCATATATGATATGATTTCATTTACACAACATTCTCAAAATGACAAAAGTATGGAGTTGAACAGGTCAGTGATGGTTAGGGGTTAGATACAGGGGGAGCAGAGAGGCAGGAGGACAGTCTCCGTGATGAAATAGTTCTGTTTCTGCATTGTAGGAGCGGATACACTGATGTGCACAGGTGATGACACAGAACTACACACACCCTGAACCAGTGCAAATTTCCTGGTTTTGATGCTGTACTACAGCTATCTAACTTAACCATTGGGAGAAATGACGAAGGGTGCATAGGACCTCTTTGTACTATTATTTGTAACTTCCTATGAAGCTAAAATTATTGCGAACTTAGAGAGAACGATCCAAGATGGCCGATTGCTAACATCTTGGGATTGCAGCACCCAGTGAAAGCACAGAGAAGGAGAGGATGCCACACTTTCAGACAAATTTTGGTCGCTCACAGAGCAGAAGATTCCTAGTGGAGGAGCTGCACGGGTCACCAGTGCGACTCTTGTGGCCGGCGCAGCGGTTTTGCCAGCACCTGGACGCGGCAGCTCTTGGTGCAGAGTAAACAGGATTGGTTCCCCATCTGACCGAGGTTTGGAGCTCCAGGAAGGCAGAGTTACCTATGA